TATTAACTTTATTGCTAATTTTTGGTTCATGTACTTTTAGGTCCATCACAACGACATCTAAAGAAGGAATAATCATGATGATGTATTCGTCCTATCATAGAACTATATAAACTTGCGTGAATACTAACAACAGACATAACAATTTAGTAACGAAATACAGTGTGAACGTGGTAAGATGATTGAAATGTTGTCAACATTTCATTATTACTGCATTATATAACAATCAACACTACTGAGTGACGAGCAATTCAAACACATACATCTGTTCCACCATTTTTGTTGTTGCAATCGTTTAAGAACCATGAGCTTTTGAATAATCCCAAATGTACTGGTTTGTACAAGGATGAAGAGAATCACCTCTCTTTCTCGAAATGTCCTTGCATAGCTACGGGTATGCATCCAGTTTCAAGGAAGTCCTACTACCTGCCGTCATGAATCTGCATCACCTGGTGTTGCCCAACTGTTTTGTGAATTTGGCATTCAGGTCATCGACTTCGGCTGTGGTCCCCTAAAAGTACCTGCTTAGATCTCGAAAACCAGGAGGTATCGCAGCCCACACATAAATCAGATGATAATTACCAATGGAAGAATTATTATGGTTTCAACTCTCGATTATTGTTGATCAGATAACGAGGTGGTGTGTTTCGATACTTCCAGGACTCTAGCTAAAGCAGCATTTGACACTTGAGTTTGTTGTTTACGTGCCCTCAGTTTAGTTGCATTCGCGTAGATGTATCAGTTGTACAATCATACTAGGAAGCAATAATAATGAAGTGTATTTCAGATGTCCATTTAAATGTTTCTTCAGTACGCTTCACCAACAATCCTAAAACAAAGGAACGAATTGTACGTTGACGCGACCTGGAAGAACATTTTGGCCAGATATAATTGGTAACAAATTATTCAATACTGTAATCACGAGGGATGTCACAAATTAATACCGATACTGAAACACGGTGTATTACGCGCCTACACTTTAACAGGTTAATTGAGCCAGAAAATATGTTAGGCTACCGAACGAATACACGAATAATCCTATATGTACAACACCACGACACTAGAAATTAAACCATTACTCAGACAACGAAATTCACTTGTCCTTCAGGTCACTTCTGATTATCATGCTTTGACCTTCACATCAGGTTACAATTCTTCCAATTCTAAGGGAAATTTCTTTGTCTAGTCGGTTGCTGATAAGTCTATACCGAAACGAATTACAGATAGTGAAAAGATCTCGTTCTTTGCTTGTCCTCAGAGATAAATGTTCCTGTTTGAGGTCATAGCTGTATCAAATATCATGTTATCAACAAGACGTGATGAGATTTGTACAGATAACTATAGCCCGATTTATGTAGTTCAATTCAGGTACGTACCTAACAAACGTTCACTCCTTACATAAGAAATTATGACGATGAGTTAAAACATCGAAAGTATACTAGTGAGATCACAAACATATTGAATTTAACAGATTCATGCTGGTACATGTGAAATGAATCATCGCTTTTTCTGATAAGCAATAAATGTACGACATGGAAAATTTTCGAACATTTTCGCGTTCGTTTAGTGCATGAGTGCTGTATATAAGAGCTCGGTGTTTCAAGCAGCACCATTTCAGTCATCGACAACTATTTGTATACGTCTTCTCTAAACACAACACTGTACAGCGGTTGACACCCAAATAAATCCAACGTGTTGTTCAGCTACTTTGTGTGACCTACTCAATGTGATTATTGAATTCATCAAAGAAATATATGGCGTTTTGTAATAATCAAATTAGTTCGAATCTATATTGCGTTGACTTTAGAAAATAGATTGACATGAAAGAGTTTAATGTGAATCATGTGTAAAGTTCACGATGTGAAAATAAGCGACTGAAACGAATCATTTGTGTGTGTGCATGTAATAACGTTGTAAGCTTGAGTTATTAATGAATGACATTTGTACAATTATGGCCTACTATGATATAAGTACTGCGTTAATAATAGGCAAAATCCTAAAATTGTCGATTTGTCATGATATAACTGCCTAATCTATAAGATCTTACGTGGGAGTCACACCATTGACTACACCAAGCCACTGTATCTTAGCAACTACTAATACATGATGGAAAACAAGGATAGGCTAGAGAAAGAACAATATATTTAATATGAATAGAAGATATAAGGTGACATTCATCAGGGACCATGCCTGCATGGCCCAGTCATGCCATCTGATCAACTCCAATTCATTCGATACATTATTCTCCACCGTTAGGTATTTCTTCGCGTTAAATATTGAATATCTATTTTCTGAGATGTTTTGTGTTCAGCTTTGAGGATTGTGTGGATATGGTCCAATGTTACTACACATTCACTGTAAACATCATTTAATCACATGGAAAAAGGAAAGTATAATTGTTTCTGAATCATTGAAGAACAAGTAAAATGATGATCATCAAATACTGACACTATGATCAGTTCCACGATACAATATAGACTTTCAATATTCAGCAAACTCACCACACGTATACATATAATTATAACCTGATGAGATTTCACTAACAGTGTCTCAATCTGCAATTAAGGAAGATTAAAGAGTTTTACTTATACAGTATTCGCTTTTAATAGTCTCAAGCAACCTATCATCTAAACCCACAATGACACATATGCAAACATTAAATGATCTTCCTTGAACTGTAATTCATACGTTTCGACTAACAGTTTGTTTAGCATGCATTCCAGAATATCATGTGTTCGGAACACTATTACAGTTCAGTTGAGAAAGAAGGAATTGAGCTGACGTTAACTATGAGGATGTTTTATACTAGCTCACTTTCACCTGTGTCTATTGACATTTAATTCGGTTAAGCCATTTTGTTAACTTACCTAAAGGAACTGAGTCTTCGTACAACAACAACTTATCTATATTATTGTTGAGAATGTATGAAGGTGTATGCCCGAGCACTGCTTACTGCGTACGAATACATTTGATGTGACCTGCTTTTATCAACAGAACGTTATTGGTTTAATGGATACAATTATTATTAGAACCAGTTGTACCAGTAATTGTTTTACCCTACTTGTATGTTTAACTGTACTAAAGACAAACTTACTTTCGTTGATTGTGACCTTGCACGAATTCGGTTACGCTCAGTACCCAAACTTGTAACCTGGCACTATCTCGGTATTGTTTCGAAACCACCAGATCGCTAACAAATACATCCTTGCTACAGCTTCTATAGACAAAAATTATACGAATTAATATTCATAACTTATAACCAATTTAAGCAAACCGAGCTTACAAGAATCAGAGACAACATAATATGTAGTACTTATTAATACTACGATTATTCCGATTTGTATTAAGTAGTTTAACCAATAAATACAAAACATCTACCTGCGAATTTTAAATGCCTACACGGGTTTCTCAGCGTTCACATGAACATGTTCATGATGCATCATTGAAGGTGAACAGTGATACATCGAATAAGGTTTCAAACCAATTGATGAATTCTTGAAAACACGGAGATCAAAGAAGAGACCTCTTTTCACCGAACTTATTATCAAGCTGTACAGTCATACTTATATATATATATATAAACTTTTCTTCTTAAAATTACAGATTCAGAAAGAATATTCGAATAAGGAATAATCATGATGATGTACTCGAAATACCTGAAGGGAATTCATTGGAAAGAATATTCTTCATTCATATGAATGTGTTATAGAAGGTTTTTGTTACAATAATTGAAGGTAATTAAAAGTTATGGGGTGTGCAAAATAAATGAAGCGATATCGTGAGCAAATATGAATAAAATAATGGAAATATGAGACATACATAACTGGGGAAATCCACCATTGATAATTATAACAGATTAAGGTCAGGGTATTGGCAACCAAAGGACACACGTAATTTGTACGCATGGTTCCAGCTTAAGCTCGTGGATGGTGAGATCTTCGGCTATTTTCTGCAGTTAGATATGAATAAATGTAAGTAGATTTAGACGAATCGTATAAACAACGGTATAATAAAACTGAGGGTCAGCAGAATGATTCAACTCCATTAGATGTTCAAGTTTGTGACTGCCATAGTCTTTCTTCTAATAGTTGTACACTTAAATGTTCCTGTATCTCAGGTAAATGCGAAAGTTAACTATGGTCAAATTTCTTTGCTACACAATAACATGTGATATGACATTGCTGCCGTTAGGCTCATTAATACAAAGTGTTAACTTGAATCAGTTTATAAGTGAAGTTAAATCGTGAGATAAATAGCGATCAGAATGAATGTGGTGAATATGATGCTAGAGATATAGGGAGAATAATGTATTTACGGAATCGGTTTCTATACATTCAGTAGTGTGTATTACCTAGGTAAATGAATGGCTACCGGATTTGTTGTTTTGCAAAAGCTCGTTCGAATCATCTGTTGATCTCTCAGCTTTCTAAATATCCGGTCAGTTCACTCTCGTCTACCTTATTATTGACACACTATTGGTCATTCTGTTTCATGAAGTTTTGATGATCATCCAAAATTTTACTGATACTGTAATTGTAGTCATTTTTGTTAAACAGTACACTTCCTGTTACTTCTCGTCTATAATTCTAGTCAAAATAATTCTGTAGTTATATTCTCTATTCTCAAACTGTTAGCAACATTCCATTCATCTTAATACGTTCACACTGTATTTGGTTACTAAATTATTATGTCTGTTGTTATCATTCACATTAGGTTATCTAGTTTTATAATAATTCCAGTACATCATCATGATTATTGCTTGTTAGGATGTCCTCACGAAACCACAACTTTAAGAATAATGATCTTCATATATACATATATATAAATAGGTACGACTGTACAGCTTGATAATAAGTTCGGTGAAAAGAGATCTCTTCTCTGATCTCCGTGTTTTTAAAAATTCATCAATTGGTTTGAAACCTTATTCGATGTATCACTGTTCACCTTCAATGATGTTCATGTGAATGATAAGAAACCCAAGGAAACATTGAAAACTCGAAGGCGGAAATACACGGCATTTATTGATAAAACTACTTAATACGAACTAAAATACTCACAGTATCAATAAGTACTACATATTACGTTATCTATAATTCCTGTAAGCTCGGTTTGTTTATGCTCGCATTTAACGCTTCTTATATGCTATTATGGAGAATATTTCGATGGAACCTTGATCATTTATCTTTTTGGATGCAAAGATACCACCAAACACCTGTATACCGAAGCGGGAGAGTTGAGTTAAATCAACAGCTGGTGAATCGGGTTTCGGTTCTCCACGAAAATATGGTTTGAATGTACTAAATGGCAATTCTATTCGTTGTCGTTCACCTGATGTCTGTAAAGATTTCACAGAAAACACATTGAATTATTATACACATTTGAACACCACATTACCTCGAAAAACGACTCATACGATTGACAAGTGAGTATTCCTGAACAGTTTCCATAGAAGGTCAATTTCATTTTGGGATTTCTATAATGTGTACGTATTTCAATGATAACACCAGTATAGTTTGACAAGTCCCAGGTATCCAATTTGTAGTGGACACCAGCGAAACCCGATCCATCTGGTTGTGGATTGATTTGATAGTATAATATTGCCGACTGGTTATTCTAAACATGATGTTAGTCAAATTTTATCTATAAATAAAATTTACATAAGCAGTATATGGTACAAGTACAGCTATAGACCGTCCTTCAACTCCAAATGTATCTGAAACTCCGATCCAATCTTCAAATAGAGATGTTTCACGGTCCGAGAAGTTGAACAGAGTTAAATTGCCGGAATGATTTGACTGCTTGAGGGTTATTGGTTTTGAATTGCGATTGAAATCATATAGCATCATGCCATCGCTTATAGTGAATGATTGAGTTGCATCAGTTTGTGATGAGTATTCATCCACAGCTTTGCAAGTATTGAGCAATAAGGTTGTAAGTATTAAAACAGAAACAGAGGTAATTCTTATTGCCATTCTGGGTTGATACAGACTGGAATTCAGTTGGACTATTTATCTGTGAGGCAAAGTAGAAATTTTAATTGAAGTTCAGTTGACAATGTATCATGGGTTTAGTACGAGATGTTCGTGCGCTATGGCGGATTGATAAGTGTTATACATAGACGCGATTGGCTACAGAATCAGTAGCCTATAGATTGAGCGTTTGAACGCGATCGACGTTCCTTGGCTCGAGTCCAATGTGTGGGATCGTGGATGGGCACGGGGCAAATCATTCCATCGCCTCTACATCTTCAATTTTTGCTCGACCTTGATCGTTTCATGATCACAATGTGAACGAATTGATGTGCATTCACGATCTGTTTTCTTACCTTTAATACAAGTATTTCTAAGGTTGCCGAAACTCGAACAATGCACAATTTCATGGACATACTTTACAAATTTCAAGACAATGTTTCAAATTACTGCAGGTTTCATGTCAGTGATTCCAATAACTGTGCTGGTATACGTTAGATGTGAACATACTTTGTAAATGCAAGTTATTCAATGATAAATTACATTCATTGCGTAAATCGTATTCACAAATATTGCTTTCTGACTTGAAGTGGTTTGAGGATATTGATGTAAGAGAAAGCACACCTTGGGTTCCACTCCAATTGGCAATCGTAAGAGAGGCGCATCAGCACTCTGAAAAACTGGTGAATCGAGGTGGATCCAAACCCCATCCACAAGATCTCAAGTTATATATGACATCATTGATCAATAGGGGCAGTAACCAGTTCCTCAAGCGATTGAGATATTCACACTGGTCTGTCATTGAGAAGGAACTCAGTTTCTGTTTGTTCAGTTCTCAATGCTGATTATAGCCTGTAACTTACTGACTAACAATCATATCTATGTACTCGTCAACTAAATTTCACATAGTTGCTATAAATCAATTCAAGACAAAACATTCAATGTTTATTTTAAGTTCCTTGTATATGAGTGAACAGAATCAACGTTCATATCATTTGTGTTATTTAACTATTTCGCTGTCCACTCTAAGTTTGTCGGATATTTAAAGTCTCTCCGTCACGAGGTGAATACTAACTCGAGCTTGTGTAATGCATAGGGTTAATCGCTGAAGAATTACGTTGATAAATTATCATCACGAACATTGAAAGTACATTTACTACTTAGAGAATATCTGCTAGATATATGTAGAGATTGTTCATCTTATAATGTTTCATCAAAGATTGACTTCATATTCCTATGTTCAACTGTTTCTATTACTGACAAATTATACATCAGTGTGAATCCATTGTTTAGAGGTAAATCCCCAAAATGTAATGAAACGCCAATTGAGTAGTGAATCTTCGAATTACTCACCTGTACAATAGAATATTTTGCCACTTCATCCGATCACATACACGTTCGCTTTTATACTTTTATTTCACAATGAGATTGTGAGTTTCAGCCAATCACCTCATCATGAATACGATCAGCTTGATAATGGCTGTTGAGAGTGGAATACAAAGTTTAGCGGATTACATACAGTGGACGTGTGAAACATTGATGCATGACGTAATTGAAAATTATTACCAATAGTAATCTTAATGCGACTAATTTGAGGTTAATGGGTACACGCACACAAACACAAGTAGATGAATGAACAGTTTTCAGATAAAGGATAAGATTATCGTGTGACCTGATTAAAGAATGTTAAGGACAACAATCGCTATTTTCTGGCAGTCTACATTACAGACTGATCTGAGTTTGTGGTTGATTGAAAACTGGGATGCGTTTAACTGCTGTTGTGCCCATTTATGTGACTCTTCAGAGGTGTGCATCGAAGACCTCACCAATGGTTAGACGTTTGACTGTCAGCTTTTGTAGATAGCGTTCAACCTCTACAATTCTGAACCGATATCCGAATGTTCGCATGGTTGTCTTCAGTCAGTTTGCGATGTAGAGATTATCAATGATACGATTTATGAATGAACACAAACTCTATGGTTCTGTTTGTACAGATTGGTGTCACTAATTTGTTGAAATACTCGTGCAATTTATCATGAGCTTCTCCAATATGTATTTATATTTTCGTTTACAAAATTTACTGAAAGACATCGGAATGTCGGACAAATGAACTCTCCACCCACCAGTGTATCATAGTAGCAATCACTTCGAGCAAAATCCACAGTTCAGCTGATGAAAATCACCAAGTAAATAAAATGTTTGCGAATGAAGTGATTTCAAAGTGAATCCAATGTTCAAAGCCATTGTCTTCCATCATCATCAGAAAGAGCAGTACGAAATACAAAGACAAATCAAATCAGAATGGGTTTTGTGGAGAATTTTAGAAATTTTCACAGGTTGAAATCATGAGTCAGTTGAAGCTAGACCACCATTGAAAACCTGGAAGCACTGGACGGCCGTTTCGTCCTGGTATGGGACTCCTCAGCAGTGCGCATCCACGAAACGGCCGTCCAGTGCTTCCAGGTTTTCAATGGTGGTCTAGCTTCAACTGACTCATGATTTCAAACTGTGAAAATTTCTAAAATTCTCCACAAAACCCATTCTGATGATAATAATCAACTGCTCACTAGTGACTGACTTCAGGAAAAACTCCTGAAGTTCTGGTGAGAAGCCGTTACCAGTGGAGTTCAACCGGTCTGTTGTGAGATAACAACTCACTGAAGACAATGGTGTACGGTGGCGCAACTTCGTGGATTGGTTGAAGTTAGACATTAACACCGTTGGATGCTGGCTCAATGGTCTAGTGATTAAGTGCTCGCGCGCGAAGCCAGTAGGTCCTGAGTTCGAGCCCCATGTGGTGCGGGATCGTGGATGCGCACTGCTGAGAAGTCCCATACCAGGACGAAACGGCCGTCCAGTGCTTCCAGGTTTTCAATGGTGGTCTAGTTTCAACTGACTCATGATTTCAACCTGTGAAAACAAATCAAATCGTTTTATTGATCCAGTGACGGGTTGTGATTTCGGTACAGAACGGTGAGTGGTGTTCACATGAATGCGTTCATGATTCTAATTTGAATACAACACATCACTCTATGTACACAATATGATCGCTTATTTGAGTGAGTGGTGGTGAATTCATGTTCACTAGAGTATGCACTGAATAAAAGTGAGAATTACAAGTTCCCGCATTACACCACAGTCACTAGTTCTATTTCAAATTATCATATAGATTTTTCAACAGTTCATGTCTTTGAATTGTATAAGGAGAAAGAAACAGAAAGGAAATATGGAACTTCAGTAGTTAACGTGTATCATTATCAATGTTGCACTTGATAGTTTGAAATAAATTGAGCATTGGATAGAGAGTTGATCATATGTTTACTCTCTGTTATATCTGAATGAGTAGAAGAATTGTATTTCTGTCGTTTCGCAGACTAATGTGACTCGTCACTTTAGAGTGTATTACTAACCGACATTAAATTAACACATGTATAAATTGTACGTAACACTCCACCAAAAGATGAATTGTGATGATGTAGTCATTAGGACTCAATGTGATCCGTTGTAATCTTGTCACTTACCTATATATAATGAAATCGCTAGTCGGCATAAATAACAATAATAAAATGAAATAACTGACAAACCACCAAGTAAAATCATTGTGGTTAATATAAGTGAAGTAAAATGTAATAATGGAAAATACAATCATTTGGTACATCTAAATCGTGAAGGTGTGGTGAGACTGACGACACAAAATCTCGGTATGACATCGCCATCCATTTTATCAGATGTATTCTCTAAGTTCTTAATTTGGTTTATAGAAGACAAATCAATATAGTGTTAACTAGACGTTAATGATCTGAATATACTTCATCAGCGTGTTGAATTAAGGAAACAGTCATATCTGTTCCAGTCACCATTGTTGTTTCTCAAACTAACCAGTTCATTTGAGATGATGCAATATGTATGAATTGTCAAACACATCAGATGAATCTTCAGGTGATCTGAAAATATTAAACATTTTATTGCAGATGACACAAATTGTCTCTTCAACATGATGTATACTTACCCCTCGATTTGTTAGATGATAATTCTGCTTTTAATTAGTGAACACTGTAATGATGCATTTAAACTACTTCACTTGAATGGATCAGAATAAGTTTTCCAAATCTTTATAATGAATACTCAAACAAATAAAACGATGCGTAGTTCAATTAAAACGACTTCACTTATATAAATGAGCATAATACGTGAGTACCTAACTACCAAAAGTGAGACAAGATTTCTCATATCTATCACTGACTAACTAATATGTCAGTGATGATGAGTAAGGTTATTATAATTAGCCATATGGTGACTTTCTCCAACACACTCTGTCCAAAGCTTCCCATTCTAGTTCTATCCAATGCTGTTCATTCTTATCCTGTTTGTCTCCATTTCTCGGTCTAATGTTACTTGGTATTACACTTCTCCTTCGGCATTGAGGATTCCAGTTGAAGGTTTGCCTTGTGATGCAGTAACGTGCTTTCCTATCCACTTACACAGTTTCCTCCCGATTTATTCCTCCGCTGGAATCTAGAATGTTCTCATCCACAGTAGATTGCTGCTGATAGTGTCCAGCTTACGGATCCGCAGTATTTTGCGTACACAACTGGTAACAAATACTTGTAACTTCCAGTTGATGGTTTTTAGCTCTTTGAGATTGCGTCTCATACAGTAGAACCGTCTTAACAATTAAATAACACGTTGTTCCGATGTACTATTTAAGATTGAAAAAATTTTGATTTTGTAATTTATGTTCTGGAGAAGTGAGTTACACTGAGACATAAAACGTCAGAAAATCTGGTTTTTCTACTTCACAAATATACTAATTTATTTATGATATTCTAAAAATGCGCAATTTCCTCGAAATTTTTCCAGTTAAACCTTAGCAATGATTCTTGACTTGACAGTCGTTATGAGTTCAAGATGTTCTTCAATTGTAGATGTGCTCGGCCTACTTTGCCGATCCGTGCATTCACAACTCGTACTTTCACCATTCAACATTGTGATATTTTGAGTGAACATAAATCTGATCATTAGTTCAAGTTCACCATCAATCACATCAAATGAGTACGTGTGATCTCATTTTCGGCGATTAACTTAGAGTCATTCAGGTTACTCATATGATGTGATCCATTTGATTTCTGGACTAAACATATCATACACGTACTAGTGCAGTGATTTATTCTGAAATCCATAATAGTCTTGTGCATAGTTAGTCGACGAAAATTTGAAGGTCATTGATTGCAATCTTAAAACGTGGCAGTAAAATCTTACCAGTTTGACCAAGGTTGTGAAAGAAGAGGTTTAACCAACACAATTTTCAAGCGATAAAACCATTTATTAATTTATCTCACCAGAATATAGTTCCATGCAAACGTGTAGTGATTTCAGTGAAAATCGAAGAAGTACTTCGAAATGTATATTCCCAAATGCGTGTTTGCTGAATCTTTGCTTCACCATACACATGTTCCTCTCTCTTCTAGAAACATATTTGAATAACCTCACCCCTGACTTCTTTTTCACTTGACAGGGTTGATATCGTTTGACTGAAAGTGTTAGGGACAAGCGCGTTACCAAACTATGAATGTATTTCACATCTTTAGCACATACTTCTATTCATAGACAATCCTCAGTGCGCGACGCACCTACAGATAAACACAAAACTAAGAAAGATTTAACATTACAGTCTCAAACCATCTACTTAAAACGTTTATTGCTATCACACAAGAACTTTATCTGCTTGACAGATTGTTTGCACAAAATATCATCCAAATATTTGAGGCCACACTCGAATATTGTTTGTAGACAGATAAGTATGTGAGCAGTTTGAAATTATTTTTAAAATCCTTGGTGGAATAGATGTTGATTCAGTGGAATTTTCATCGAAAATCCACCTAATAATTCTACTGGATGACATATCACTTTAATGGAAAGGGCACAAACTACACACTTGTACGTTATGAGTTGGTGAAAACATTTAGTGATTGTAGTGTGATTGTAGTGCACCGTCGGCAAAGATTACGTTGTGTGTGCGTAGTAAGATTTGCTACAACCTAAACCAATTAATGATTCTCTAAACTATTAATAAAAAGCTGTTTCTATCTATATTTCTTGATCTCCATTTTATTTTTTGTGTCATATTACGATCAACATTATTGATTGATGAGCAGTTCAAACACACACTATCGGCCCATCATTTTTCTGTTGTTGCGGTAGACTTTCCTGGACCATAAGTTACTGGGTAACCATACAATCAATATGCTCTTAAATGGTATTGTGCGGATGAACGTGGGTAGAACCATCTCTCTCGAAATGCTCTCTCATGGCCACGGGTATCCAGCCACTGTCAGAGATTTCTTACTCACTGCAACACTGTGACGGT